CAGGGGGACGGGGGGCTGTTTTCACCTTCCTCAGGTTCCTATAAAGCCTCTGGAGCCTGGACAGGGCGAAAAAAGCATGAAAAAATAGGGGGAGGGCCTGTCATACACACATGTGCACTGGGGGAGTTGCGCATTGCATTATGGGTACATCATGCTCACGCATGCCCCCCCCCTGCACTCCCCCCGCTTATGGCACATGAGCCAAAAAAGGTTCGCCATCACTGATCTAGACAGTTTCTTTTAAAGACAGTATACTAGGTCATAACAATTTCCAAAACGATAGCTTTGTTAGCCATTATAGCAAAATCCACAAAGAATATTAAAGCTATATAACCTTTGTTTGCTCATATATTATTTATGGACTTCTTACAGAAATAATCCACTTTTTCTCTGAGCAAATTAAGCTGCAAATACAAGTTGCGACCTCAGACCTTAACTTCCTAGTAACAAACCTGGGAAAAATAACCAGCCCATAGTAACTAAGGTCAAATGGAAATCCATATACCATACCAGATCTACATTAGATTTAATATGTCCCAGACTCTTAGATGATAAAACCAGTAAAAGATACAAAGAAATATGAAGAGTTTTCCGCAGTGTCTATGAAGTGATTGGTCAGAACTTCCCTCCTTTCACACGTTATAAGACTATTTCATATTTAATTAAAAATGTCTTGGCTTACTTTCAGTTTGCAATATCAATAGCACTTAGACTTATATACCTGAGTCAACCTTGAACCCCATCAGGATTGAATTCTAGGCTGTGGGCAGAGTTTCTCTGCAATACTGCATTCTACCCATTATTTCACCAGTGCTCCTGTTATTGTTTATTTTCTTTTTAAATTACTTTCTATTTCTAATTGCTTAATGTATTAGTGAAAAATAGACAATTATCCATAGACACCAATATTATCAATCAACCATCAACTGGATTTAGTTCAGTAAAAATAAGGTTGAACTTTAAAATAATTGCAAAATAGTTTTCGAGAGAACAAACTGATTAGAATTAAAAAAACATTTCAAAATTTGTGAGATCCAATTCATTGCAAAACAAGCTCTGCACCCAGTTATAATGGGTAAAAGTAATAGTCATTATTTCAGTTTCTATAGAGTGAAATGGGTCAGCCTTCCTCTCCGTAAATTTCATTTACAAACATGTAATAAGGTAGGTTGTATTAAACAAATATTCTGCACTATATCTAAAATTCTTGAAAACTTTTTTCACTGTATCAGTATTCCTCTTTGTTTGCCCTGAGTTACTCTCATGTTATTCTATCATAAATACATATCCAGTCCAATGCTTTGTTTTGGCACAAAATATAATGCAAATAAAGATACATATACATGTCCCAGAATAATCTGGGATTTGGAGCATCCAATCCGGATTGGTAACATTTTGGTGAGAGAGAAGTTCCCTCAGGATGGGCTTCAGCATGAGTCTGTAAGCTCCGACTGAATCTCTGTCCCATTAACCAACACAGATTGGATTCTGAGAAATAGAAGAAATCATTGGTATCAGTAATAGTTGATGCAGATAAAATTAAATCAAAGAAACTCAGGATATATATATCACTATACTTGGTGATCCTCTAGAAACAAGATAAGGACTGTAATAGGTATAATTCTTCTCAACAAATCTTTGTCTGGGAAAGAGCAAGGTTTAAAGTTTTGTGGAAAATAAGAATCTCAAATGTGTAAGACCACATCTTACAAGTGACCAGAGCTAATTGAGAGGATTTTGAGGGTTTCTGTGTATTTAAATGGCATTCCTATTAACACTGTTCCATGCGCCATCAACATATAGTCATGCTGGCACATTACCCTATGCATGTGCAAATAAAAAAGATGACACTTGGAATACTGCATCCAGTTCTGGTCACCACTATATAAGAAAGAAGTTGAGACTCTAGAAAGAGTGCAGAGAAGAGCAACCAGAATGATTAAGGGAGTGGAGGCTAAAACATACAAAGAATGGTTATAGGAATTGGATATGTCCAGTGTAATGAAAAAGAAGGACTAGGGCAGACATGATTCCAATATTTGAGGGGCACCTACAAAGACAAAGATATCAAACTATTTTCCAAAGCACCAAAATTTTATTATTCTGTTCTAAATGAAGCTTCATACACTTGCCCAACACTTGTGCATCTCAATGGGGGTTGCTATACAAGTTCATTTTTTTTAAAAAAAAGCAAAGTTTAATATAGGAACATATCCCTCTGGCTCTGTTAGACAAGGAGGTAGTGAGTTTTAGAAGCAAACCTCTTTTGTTCATTCAAAATCTTTTTTCTTTAATTTATAACAGATATATTTTCAAAGAGGATAATATCTACACATGGACGGATAATTAGGTTATACCATTAATGCTTTTATAACACTTATAAAAGATGTAAAGCAGAGTGTATTGTTTTCATATTAAAGAAAAAATGTATGAATTTTTAGCCTAACAGCAAAATCTCCACTACATTATTATTTATCATTGTTAGAACAAAAAGAAATATAAAAGCAATATAGATAAATATTTAATTTTTGAATTTCCCCTTCTTTGTTGTCCAATTGATTTACAGTGTTTATTGATGTAAGCTTTAGAACCCATCTTATAAGTATTGACATTTACTAGAGTTTTTATTTATTTCTTTACCTTTTAAAAAGAAGTATTATATTTGGATGCATATGCAACCTTAAAAAGATAAAATTTTTAAAGGTGTTTATTTAATATTTTTTACTGAGAAATACCTGTATTACTGAAAAAATTGAATAAAAGGTTTCTGCTGTATCTGTTTTATAAGACATACTATTCCCTATGGTTTTAAATACTATTGATCCAAGCAGAGAGGTACTTCAGTTTTCTAATACAGAGAAATAGTAATTCTAGAATGTATGAACTAATTTGTATTCTTGCAATGGTTTAAAAGTCTTTGGAAATGTGGTCAGTAAACTGATAGTTTGTACTTTTATAAAGAAGTATTAAACACTTTATAGGCATCCAAGAATCTTTCAGCAAAAATCGGTATTGATTATAAGCCCTTGAGAAAAATCTAGATATTTCAGTAACAAATTACAGATTGGTTATGGTGTAATGTCCCTGATTATTTTTGTGGTTAATTCTGAGAGTATTTATATTGCTTCTAATTCTTGTAGCAATGCTTGGCCTTATACTTCTCATGATCTGGAAAGAGGGGTCCATGCTTAATTTTGATGATTGTCCAAGTAGGTGATTTGTGTGTTATTGGTCCATATGTCCTGTCTTAAGATTCACCTGAAAGGTGGGAATGAAAAATATGTTGTGTTAAGTAAACCTTTTAACATTTAATATCTTGTGCTGATTTTACCAGTTGTGGAGGAACACCAGGCTAACCCTGAAGAAAGCAAGAATTGTTAGGTAAACATCCACTTAGCCCTGGGAAGAAATAGTGAACAAGAATGAAACTTGATTCTCTTTAGTAAAAGTTGTTGTTGTATGAAACAACAATAAATTGGTGTGCTGTATGTTTTTTAAGTGATCTACCTCAAAAAGCTGGCATTAGGATACACACAAAAGGAATTAATCTTATAATTTATTTTAAAATATAAGTTTATTTTTCACTATTTTCAGTCAATTAATAGGAATATACCCCAAATCTTACATGAAACTGTAATTCAGTTTAATTTGTTGTATATATTCATCTTGAACCATCAGACTGAATTAATTCTATTCAAATTTGGAGTCACTTGCTTTGGTTCAATGCAGTAAACCTATCTGGAAATAGAATGGAAAAATTCAGTTTGAAGATGCAGTTCAGTAAAGCTATCTATAGATCAAAAGATCTCACAGACCTTCTAATTAGTGTGTCTCAGAATTGATTATGAAGATTTGATGTAAGTAGAATGAATTTTATTGTCAGGTTTCCCTATTAATTCAATTTTCCTTACTGGTTGTACTGACTATAGATTAGGGGAATTAAAATCCACCATATATACTCAGCGGGAAAGACTTTTAGTGTTAGATGTTCCAGGTTCTATTTCTTGTTTTGTGGTCAGTATCAATAGTTTACTACACAAATGAAGACAGGAAATTCCTAGAGTTCATTACAACAGCCATTATAATGAATAATCTATAGTAGAGGCAATTGAACATTGAACTATTACCTGAAAATGGAATTATATGCTTGCTTTTATACATTTTTGCTTATGTTAATATTGTACAGGTCAGTTAGTGTATATGGGGTGCATTTGGATTAAAAAAAACCTCTAGACATAAAAGTCCCAGTGACTTTTAAAAGTAACTGAAAATTGTAACATTCTTGGTTTAGAAAAATTGATGCAAAATCTGAAGTCATCTCATTTTTGCCAAAAACTAGTTTCAGAGTGGCTTGAAGAAAAACAGGTAAAAGCTTAAATAGCACATCCATCACCATGAGATTGTTGTTAATGTAAACAAAGCAACTATGGGATAATGCATCATCTGTCATTTTTATAGAGCTCAAGATTGCTTTTATATCTTGGGCTACAGGGGTTTATTCAGCAGAAGTGCTAAATGGAACATCCGATGGAGCAGGTTGTTGCCTAGGTAAGTTCTCATCACACTAAATGAAGACAAACTAAGATTCAGTAAAGAGTGTAGGACGTTTAAAATAGATTCAGCAGAACCTTTTGTTAGCAGAGTATTCAAATTTTACACAATTTTGGGAAGTTAATATGACTCAGTTCAAGGCTCTAGATTGCATTTTCTATTACAGAATCCCATCTAATTCTTTTGAAACGTCAGAATTCCATGTAACAGATTAAAAAACTTGCTCTACATCAGTGTTTCTCCATCTCAGCTGCTTAATGTGTGGACTTCAACTCCCAAAATGCCCCATGCTGGCGGAGGATTTCTGGGAGTTGTAGTCCACATATTTTAGATTAATTTACCGAGATTGAGAAGCACTGCTCCAGATTTCAGATTGACCAGTGTTTATATATGCTCTGCTTAGTACTAACAGTACTATTTTATTTGTCTCCTTTTTTTCCCCACACCAGTTATGGAGATATGGTGCCCAAGACAATTGCTGGCAAGATATTTGGCTCCATTTGTTCACTGAGTGGTGTACTTGTCATTGCTCTTCCTGTCCCAGTTATTGTTTCCAATTTCAGCCGAATTTATCATCAGAATCAAAGAGCTGATAAGCGAAGAGCACAAAAGGTAAGATATACTGAAAGCTACAATAAACATATTTTAGTTTGATTTTACTAGCTTGCATTGGTTTTTCTATGACTATTATGCATTCATTATTATATGAATGCAGCATCCAGAATAGGTTATCACACTAGTCTTTCTTTTAGCAACTCAGGTTTTATCTTTCCTACACCTGGGTTTTTTTCTCTTAACAAGGTTAATTTGTTCAGGCAGAAAGTTCCTAAACAGAAGCATAATCTCTGAAAACACCTCAGTTGCTGTGGCAGTCATAAAGGTGAACTCAGGTGTTTTATATCTATTATCATCATTATAATTATCATAATTACTTAACATCAAATTCTGATGTCACAATTTCACAACGGTGATGTGACAATTTTCAGATAATGAATGTGAAAGCAAGTTATACTAGTGACAGGAAGAATTCCCTAAAGCTCTAGTTGCCTTTACATTTTCTCACAATAGGAAAATCAAATAAAACTTAGTCATGATAAGTTGGTATGTGAAAATTTTGTGCCAAAAACAGGAGGAAGTACCATTGTTTTTTGGGGGGGGGAATCTGGTTGTGTCTTCTGCTCATACACATGTTCAACTGTGCTTCTTCAGAACTGTGTCAAATCATCTATCACCCCTCCTGGCCTTTATTTCATTATTCAAATCTTTCTTCCGAGTATATCCATTATCTGAGGTAAGGTGAATAGATACTCTGAAAAAGTATTTATCTTTATGCCATATCCAAATGTGCATCTTCAGGTTCTGAGGTACATGACCAATTTTCTTAAGATTCAAAGTCTACACCTATATAGTTCAAGTTATTTTTTCTGCTGGCATAATATTTTATTCTGCTGGAATAGAGAATTTAGAGAATAGAGAATCAGCTGCTTCTGATATTGACTCTATTAGAATAGAGTGAAAGAAGACAACCAAGATGAGACAGGCACTTAAGGGTCTAACTTATGAAGAAAATCTGAAGGAACATGATATTTAGTTTGAAGAAAAGAAGAGTGGGCATGAGGTCAGGTATGTAAAAAGATGTCATAGGGGAAATGATCAGGCACTAAGAAGAGAAATAATGAATATTCTTGAATGTGTTTATATCTTGTTCAGTTATAAGTTTTGTACAGCTCCACCTATGGAGCTTATGGATTTTCCCTCATTGGAGGTTTTAAATAAGAACCTGGATGCTTAACTGGTTTTCTTAAGCACTTAGAGATCAGGGGTGTCAAACTTGCAGCCTGCAGGCCAAATACATCACATGCTGGCCACACCTATGCCCAGTTTAGCAAAGGGGGGTAAATATAGTCTATCCATCATGCAATACATGATGACAACATGATGCTATGTGTTTGACATCCCTGGGCTAGATGATCCTCATAGTATATTCCAATTCCACAATTCTATGATTCCATGATCCACTACAGGTATAATTTGAGGCTAAGATTGCACTGCAATAATCACTTTAATAGCTAGTGTATAAATATTGGATTTCAAAGTCTAAGAAACCCCCCCACACACACACACACACAGATGAGCATTAAATAATGTTGCTCTCAGTAAACTTGCAAATATAACAAAAGACAGCTGATGTGGCTGTCTGGCATTTTTATTCCTCTGGGGAAAAGTTTCTGGTAATTGACTTTCTTCTAATTAGCTCTAATAGCACCTCAGCACCTCCCTCTCTTTTGCAGAAAAGGCTGAAGCACACCTCTTGCACATCGTAGTGTTGACTGGTAAATCCAAGTGACAGGCAGAGAGACATGATCCTTAATGAATTGGATGTTTCTTCTACCTGCAACAAAGAATGATGAACACACTATTGTTATTACACAAAAGGAGATAACAAATGGAAATGAGTGAGCTGTAAGAGAAGAGGAAAAAATAAAACATCTGCTGACTTCCATTTCATCCTCTATTTGGCAACTTTTAAAAAATAAGTTTCTATTATATTACATAAATATTGCATTTCCCATTAAAAAGCTCACAGCTTCAGTGACAAGGAGCTTCCAATGAATTTCCATTTTACATACTAACTAGGCCAGGACCTAGTACAGGTTTTCATAATGTGATGTAAGAATATAACTTGAAATCTAGTGACAGTAGCATAAGAGGAATGGATGGATACTGAGCCACGGGTATCAAACTCGCCACATCACATTGCCATCACATGACATTTCACAACATTTTTCCCCTTTGCAGAGCTGGGGTGGGCATGGCTGCATGTGATGCATCTGCCCACGGGCTGCCAGTTTGACACCCTTGATATAAGCAACATAGACCTGATATGAAATCAATATGTAGCCAGCCATGGTCTTAAAGGGCTATCAATGTAGATATATTTGGTTTGTTAATCAGATAATGGTTATAGTTTATACAGTCTAACCATTTCACGTAAAAATGTATAGTATTAATTATTAATTAGATTGGTTCAAATTCAGCCTACCACGTGTGTCCTGGTTTATAATTGGTTTGTATTTGGTTTATATTTTAAAAAGGCTATAGCCTCATTAAAGACAATGAGATTCCACCCATGAATATTAACTGACTCCGGAACGCGTGTTCCCCATTTCTAAAGACATTTTTCTACATGTAAATGAACTAGTTGAAGTTCACTAGCCTTATTGGAACAAGCCTTTGTTATGACAATGTTTGAACCTAAGCATATTTCTTAAACAGGATTTCTGGATATTTAGTGTCAATATGAGGAGCTTTTGTAGTACTTTCATTCCAGCATTCCAAATGTTGAAGTGATATCTGATATTCATGAGCCTTTTCCATGGTTGGAAAATTGCAGCTGAAGAGGTTATGAACTAATCTAGCTTATTTTACCAATGGTAGATTCAACTATCCTACAACAACATAATACCATCCTTTGTAGTAACCTTGGCAACAAAAAAGAAAACTTACCTGGATTCTTATGTTAGCCAGTTTCGATCCTTAAAATATCATAAAATACAACAAATCATATTAACTATGATCTTTTTTAAATGCCCATAAACACAACCTTATTCTGTTATCACCAACAACAGTATTCACACCTCCATATCTCTAATTTAACAACAATAGCACTTCACTTTCTTAAAATAGTCCTTTTGATCACACAGAATCTAAAAATACATACTTTTCACAGAAAACAATTTTATTCTATAATACCCCTTATGCAAATCCTTATGATTTGCATTATTTTATCTGTTATATTTTCCTGTATGTTGTCTTTTACTTTCCCAAGATCAGTGAGTCATCTTAAAGATGCCATTCTGTATCAGCTGTCCAGATGGCTATTGAATTCATCCAGGAATATTTACACTGAAACCCCAAAGTAACAATTACTACAACCACTTCTCTGTTTTTTCATGTTTCAACTCTGTTTTGAGTGACATGAACATGTGAGTTTTCTTGCCCACAATATGAATATGGCTCATTGCCTTCTTCCAGGATGTTTTTTCAACATGCCAATCTAACTATAGTCATGGGATTTCTTCATGGTCTTCCAAAAAATAATAGACAGATTTGACCCTGCTTAGCTTTTCAAGTTCAGTATTCAGACTCAGTATTCCACATTATTTTTATGTAATGATCTCTACACTTAAAATTTGTTCCCTATTTCTTAAAGGGCAGCTTTATTAGCTTCTCTCCTTTAAGCAATAATATACAACTTCATGCTAAGGTGATTGATTGCTGATCTTACCAATGTCTGTCTGTCTCTCTCTCTCACACACACACACACACACACACACACACACAAACATGTACAGTACGTTATATATTCTCATCTCATTTAAATTAATTCTAATTTTCATTCTGCTGAAATAAATGTCATACATAACTCACGAGTTGGTCCTTGGTGCTCTCTCAAGCTCAGAAATCACCAAGGACTCTAAAAGTAAACAGCAAGTACTTTTCACATAGCAAATATTCCAGTAAACATACAACCAAATCAATTCATTAAAACCTATTTGAAAATGCTGTGGAAAGCACTCATGAAATTTGAGGAGCTTTTATACATCTTACACACCACTTTTTAATGATTATGTTTTCCACCATTTGCAACTAGATAAATAACTAGGAATGTGCTCTTTCCATATTGCTATCAGTTCAGGAATGACTGGCTAACTGGATAGTTTTAAAATGATACATTATTTATCCACATATCAATATTGGAAATAATGTCCCTTCCTTTTGTAGTTTTGTGTTGTTTTGTTCTTACAATGAAAAGAAAGCTCATAATTTTATCATAGACTTGTATCCATATTTCTATTCATTCTTCCTCGCTTTTGTGTAAAAGAAGAAAGAGCTTGAAAGGAATTTTACATCTAGAGGCTGATGCTTATTTTATTAAATATAGTAAAGGGACATGATTTCATGGTTGAAATGCATCTGAAATTCTTTGCAATAATCTGTGGTGGAGAGGCAAAGCCAGAAGTCAAGGAATTCAAGATTGTAATGGAGAAGGGCTTGCTTGGGATGTGAATGGAAACTGCCAAAGAACTGGTCAGGCTGATCCAGAAACCTAAGTAAAGGCAGGGCTGGAGCAGGAAAAACTATGCAGGGACTCTGATTGGGAATAAGTGGCAGAATCTGAAATACATTAAGAAGCTGAAGAGAAAGTCAAAATAGAAATCAAAACAAATCAAGTCAATAAAGCAAAATAGCTCAGGAATGAATCTACACTTGAGAGACCGCCGGCTGCCAATTACCTCCCAAAGACCCGTTAGATCACACAGGGTCGGCCTCCTC